TTTCATATTGTTAGATGTTTTGTGGATTTAAAGATTTGGGAAGCCTACGTTGACGGCATCACACTTTGCAAATGACCACTATTTTAAGAATGTTGTACACAACAAATTACTGGAACTGGCACATTTTAACCAACATTTTACCCTCCATATGAAAAATGACCTACTGAATAAGAGTATGGCAGTAGGCCCATGGCTTGCAGAAATTATATTCACTTGGTAGGCTTCACATAACACAATATGAAAATCATAAATACCAAATCAGGAATATACGGCAGGCGGGAATAACTGCAATAAACTTAAAACATAAGAAGTAAACAAAGTGCTAATACTTTAATTTAAACTATTAATATTTAAAATTTGAATCCTACATATAAAATTCCGGATAAACTGATAGGACCACTCAAAGATCAATAAATCATTTCTTGAAGAGCACAGTCAAACAAAAGGAACAATAGTAATGCCCACCACATCTCACAAAAACAGGAATAACAACATTCATTGAACACCATTATTAAGATGAAAAATAACGTTCAGACCCCTTTGGAGGCATGACACAGACAGAGATGAAAATTTTCATACAGTTGAATAATAGCCAAACACAAGCAGATCAAGCACATGCATGGTAGCAAAGAATCACAGCCTTAATATTATCTCTCAGAGATGTGATATTTTGAAAACAAACCTGGGACTCCTTTGTAGCACCAGTAATAACTGATGTGACGTTAGGATTAGCAGCACACCATGCAATTGCAAGTTGAGCTAATGGTACACCTAATTCATCTGCAATTGGCTTCAGACCATTAACCTTTTTCAGCACATCATCAACCAGTGATCGACTAGCAAGATTCTGCAAGGCATAAGTCAAAAAATTAATGTCCTACCCATAAAGAAGAAAAAAGTACAACAGTATATGCAACTTTGACACCAGAATGATAATTTATGATAATACGATAAAAAAAAATGAAACTAAAAGATTGATCTCAACAATACTCCTCTATTGATTTTGAAGAGACACAAAATACAGACTACAGCAGTTTGGGGTCATCAATTTAGACAATTCAACAATGCATATACTTAGGAACAGAGCTATCATAGTGATTAATTGAAATCTTACTTTGTAATTGTCCAATGCAAATCGGCTATCAGGTGGTATATTTCCCTTGTTATATTTTCCAGTGAGCACACCAGAAGCAAGCGGGCTCCAAGTGGTAAGACCCAGACCGTAGTTGGTGTACAGTGGGAGGTACTCAGACTCAACCTGCACCCATGTAATAGTTGAAGGAATCATCAGTATAAGAGAGAGAGAGAGAGAGAGAGAGAGAGAGAGAGAGGACAAAATCCATCCGTTGCTGTTTCGCTTCTCCATAAAAGGGACAGATATCATCAGTAGATATAAAGGCATGGAAAAAAAAATCCGTACAAACATAAGCCCAATTAACAGGCATGGACGTCAACTGTAATATAGTAATAAATGAAAGACATGGATGAGTAGAAATGCCACAAAGTTTAAGATAAAGCATTGAGCTAGAGATAGCACAACAATTGAAATCATAATTTCTTGATTGTTGGTTAGAACTAAAGATAAGAGCTTTCTAGGTTCCGAGAACCAATAAACACATTCAATACAGAGAGGGTAACAGAAAATCATTAAAGATCATTTACAAGGAATACTCATCTCTTGCTAAGTTGCTACTGATTTAATTTCATGGCCCATGACAAGGAAATAACAATAATATAGAACACGGCTATGAAAATGAGAAATGAAGTTTGAAGGACGCTGCCATTCTAGTGGCATAACTGAATGAATATACGGCTATGGGAGAGTTGCTTCAGTCCCTGTTGTACAGGGACTTCAGCTTCAAAGAAGGGAAGAAAGGTGGAAGGAAAGTTAGCAATGAATGAAAACTGGCAAAAATGGGGTTACCAATATAAATATGAACTTCTGCATATTCAAATTAGTTAGCATCTGCTTATGTAAACATCAGCCACTAAGTCTAAAATGCAATCATCAAATATCCAATCCCTCCAATCAAAAACATCAATTATCTTTTATTTTCTAAAGAAAACGCACTACCAAGTGATCAACCAACTGCATCTCATCCTAAAAGTGAAATGAAAGCAACCCCCTTTCACATAACAGTTATAACACTAAATCCACCACCAAATCAAAACCCATAAACTACATCACATACATAATCCAATCAACAATTTTGTTTTTACTTTGGGTGGGGGCTGTTATTTAATCCAACCCACAATTTTTTTTTTTTTTTTTTTTCAGAATTATTGAATAAATCTTCACATCTAATCAATGGGTACACACTAAAAACCCCAAAATTCCACAAACCCTCATAAAAAAGCCAAACGTATTCCCCATCTGGGCACAACCACAAACGAAAAATCAAAAACAATATAAAAAAAACCCACTAACCTTGTGCCTGGACAACAAATTATACTCAGGCTGCTCAACAATGGGCCCCACCAAATCCAACCTCTCGGCGATCCCCCAAGCCTCAGTGATCTGCTGAGCCGACCACTCACTGGTCCCCCAATAAAAAGCCCAACCCTTATCAATCACATAGTTCATAGCCCTCACCGTCTCCTCAATCGGCGTAGTGACATCCGGCCTGTGGCAATAGATAAGATCAACATAATCCATATCCAGCCTCTTCAACGACGCCTTGGTGCCTTCGACGACGTGCTTTCTGGAGAGGCCCTTGTCGTTGGGGCCGGGCCCACCCCAGAAGATCTTGGTGGAAACGACGACGTCGGAGCGCTTCCATCCGAGCTCGCGGATGGCCTGGCCCATGATCTCCTCGGCGCGGCCGGAGGCGTAGACCTCGGCGTTATCGAAGAAGTTGACGCCGTGGTCTCGGCAGGTCTGGAGGAGAGACTTGGCCTCCTTGACGTCGAGCTGGTTGCCGAAGCTGACCCATGCTCCGTACGAGAGCTGGCTCACCTTGAGCCCCGAGCGGCCCAGATTCTTGTACTGCATATTGTTCGACGACATTGAATTCCAGTTGAAATTGAGTGAAACAGAGAGTGAGTCAAAATGCTCAGGTCCTGAGGAGGAGGAGGAGGAAGGTTTATTTATGAAGACGATGAAGAGGACACGTGGGTTTTAGTTGCGTGGAGATCTAGGAGGCATGTGGGAGGTCCAAACGTTTTCTTTTGCTTTCAATGTTCTTCGGCTTTCTTTATTTATATATTTCAAATAAATAAATAAATGGCTGCTAATCTGAGGTTTATTATTGCCAGCAAAATGGTGATGGTACGAAGAAGAAGAAATCTGAGAGTCTCTAATGATGGTGAAGTGGGGTTGATTCATCTATAAATAAATAAATAAATAAATAAAAATTAGACTAAGCCCAACTGAATTTGGGTTATTGTTCAAAATATTGCAGCCCAAGTCCAAGATTGGGATTGCTCTCACACTCTTTAGAAAAGCTGCTCATGTCATGTGCTTTGAAACTAAAATCATTTTCTAATTATTCAAATTATTTTTAAAATAATTTCAAAGTCCACAAAATTATTTAAGATAAGTAAATATAATTAATTTGTTTTTATTAAGTAATTTATTAAATTAATTAAAATATTTAATACTAATTATTCATTAAATAAAGAATAATTAAAACATAAATATTAATTAATATAATTAAATAAATAAATATATTACTTAATTGAAAATATTAAAATAAAAAAAATAATTTTGTATATAAATAAATAAATAAAAACAAAGTCCATAAAATAATTTTATTTAATTAATTACTATTTATTAAGTAATTTATGAAAGGGAGACTTTGGAAAAACCCAAAGGAGAGAGAAATTTTGTAAAAGAAGTCAAAATGGACAAATTTGCCCTTATTTAGTTTTGAATTTCCTAAGAAATCATTTACACTTGCATGTCTTTGATTTGAAAGTTATATATATATATATTCAGAGAGTAAAGCCGCGCGGCTTGAATAAATTTATAAAGTATAGCCGAGCGGGTATACGTTAAAAGATTCGAATATATTTAGAAAGTTTAGCCGCGCGGCTATACTGTTAAAATATTCATGTATGCAGTATAGCCGTGCGGCGATATTCTTTAAATATTAATATATTTTAAACGTATAGGGAATACAAATGCAAACGCTTGCAGTTCCAATTTTTCAATTGACACCATGAAGTTTTTTTTTCCATTAAAATTTCTTTTTTTCTTTTTTCTTTTTTAAATCAAAATAAAAAAGCCTTCAGTTCCCCACATGGGCATCGACTCTCAACATTTTCATTTAGAGAAACACTATATATGTTTCGTTACCAATTCCAGTCACTTTTCTACATAAGTTTTCGTGTTATAGATCCGAAGATGGTGGAATCTCACACCATTTTCCATTCCATCAATCAATTCTGCAGATATATATATTAGGCCCCGTTTGGTTCATGAGAAAGGAGGGGTGGGAGTGGGAATTCAATTGTTTTCCCATATTTAGTAAGTCCAGAAATGGGAAATGGTTGTCTGGCACATGGAAAAATAGGGGGAAAGTGAAGCCCTCCCTTCAACTTGGGTTTTGTTTTCCCTCCTCATGGAAAAGTTTGGGAAAATGAGCCAACATTCAATGCACAATTTTCATAACTATTTTGTCTCCATGAACAATTTAGAATTACAATATATTATTAAATGCATTCTTTTTTTAATTTGATTTAATATTGGTATAATTGAAAAATTATACAAACTTTGTTTTTCATTCCTACTTAAAAGAAACATGGGAAAGGAAACATAGTGAAATTCCCGGTTACTTTCCCGACATTACCAAACGTGGGAAATGAATCTTTCATTCCCATTCCTTAGGAAATTACATGGGAAGTGATTTCCCCTAAAATCCATTCCGCGAACCAAACGGGGCCTTAGGGTTGATATTAATTTTGGATACCATCCTTCATGCCTAGGAGACAGGCTAACTTGGAATGTGAAGACTTGATTCCAAGACCATCCTTTAAGCCTAAGGAATCCATTGTTTTAAACAATCCAGGGCTTAATTTCTCTTAAAATTCATATTTATCGAACAAATTTGAAGAGTTGTACAGTCTCACTTTCATAACCACAAACATTTACATTTGCAAATCATTCTTATAATCCATTCTTAACATTCACCATGGCACAAAAGCAATTGAGGCAATCTTCATCTAACCACCATTTGAATGATCTTATACAAAGAACAATTGAGGCAATCTATCCATTTTGGAAGCTTCTGTAGCAGTGAACAACAAGAAAATTAGATACAAGAAATTAAGCCGATAGTCAGATCAAACACCTATGAGCCGTTTAGGCAATAAATAAATAGATACGATACCAATTGTCAGACAAAAACTAGAAATAATAAGAAAAGGACATAGAATTATAATTTCAGAGAGTGAGCTTACCTGAGATTTAAAAGAGAAAGCACAAAAATGCACAGATGCACAGCCGCAGAGCGAAAGAGACTACTTGGATGAGGAGAGGAGACAAAACATTCCCAGGAGTGGCAAGGAGAGAGAGAGCACCTAGGAGACCAAAATTTGAATTTAAAGAATGTCTTTTTATCATAGTGAACAAGTGAGGGAAAAAGGAGCTTACCAGAGAGTGCAATGCAGCAGAGAGTGAGGGCAGAGAGGGAAAAACTGATGGCTGGTAGTTTGAGAAGGATGATTGAAAAAAAAAAAAGTGAGTGTGAAAGTAGGAGTAATTGATCAAAAAGAAAGTAAGTTATTGCAAATCTTGTTATGGCCATGGAAACAAATAAAAATTACACAAATTTTTCCGTACATAGCTAAAGATCAAGCCACCACCTAAGTTGAGCCATTGTGAAACTTTTCAACTCTGTGCAGTTAGAACATGCTTTGCTAACCCAATTCAACACTGAAAATGACAAGTTTCAGCAGTGTAGAAAAGTTTTAGTTTTGAACTAAGAAATCACCTTTACAGATGGGGAGCACAGTTCGGGTTGTCGCACAATGTATATTTGATCACCATGGCTATCTTCCTTATATGTATCTTGATTTCTGTGCCAAGTCCAGAGAGCGTATGTAGAATTCACAACCTGCATTTAGATATAAAAGGGTCATGGAAGATCTCTATAAAAGTGTAGCTCAGAAAGAATGAAGACATCACGAAAGATCGCGCTTAGCTCCTCTACTTTCATGGTTTGCGCCTCTGAAGCAAATACAGAAACATTTACATTTGCTAATCATGGCCAAACTAATCAATAAACATTGTAGATAAGATTGTCTTACTAGGGAAGTAAAAAACGATGCAGAATATTAGAAACTGAGATAATACCTCAAGTATGCCATGTCCAAAACTGCTTTCTCTAAATGCACTCCACTCTGGCTGTTTGTTCCAACAAAAACTGCCTTTAGCAGGCCCTGAAGAAAAGTTCAAATGACAAACCCCTCCAAACTCTGGTGTGTTGTCTCCAGCTGAAGGACACTTTCCAGGGTCATCAGCAAAATCAACATCAACTTGCTCAATATTTCCACCATCTCCAACTGTTATGTAAACAGGTCCACATCGATCCAACGTGTAGTTATATACTCTATTCATCCGTTCATAGGCATGGACCTGAAAAGAAGCATATTGCACTCATTCAGCATCAAAATAGAAATTTGTTCCAACAATAAGAACCTAAGGTATTTTTCCAGTTTCATTTCTATGGCCTCTTTGAATTGCCTACTACTGTTGTATCTAGCCTACAATGATGATCCTAGTCAAGAATCTCATGTCTGCCACACCAAATTGGAATCAAATCTCTGTAATTGTTATTAATCAGATGCATGTAGAAATTTCCCATTTATTGGGGCATTGAGTAAGAATCTGCAACTTGGGCTCTCTTTTTTTTCTTTCTTTTTTTCACTCTGAGCAACAAGCTTTGGTGCTTTTGGATGAAAGAGACCAAATATTGATGTCATGAAAGATATGAGTTGTAGTAGAACTTATTTATTTAACGAATTTAATTAGATCATGCATCACAGTACAAGTGTTTCTTTTTTGGGGGCGTAATCATACAGTATAAGTTCGTTACAATGAATAAGATGTACTTATTTACCAATAAAAATCATGTGTTTACTTCTGGAAGAATTCCAGTTCAAAAAATAATAAAATCTTATGAATGCTTCATTAACCAACTTCCATGGCAGAGAAGATTAGTACAATTGAGATGGATGGAAATGTACACTTGATCTTCTTTCTTTTTCATTTTTTCCTAAAGATCACATGTCAACTAACTTATATACCTGCCTTCCATAATATATATTGCTACCACAGAAGCATATTGTGGCCTAACATGCAATTAGCAAATTTTCAGGTTTTTTCAATTTCAGGGAAGAGCCAACAGGTACGTGTTCTTTGACATCAATAGAAAATAACATACTAATTTCTGAAAGCATTTGAAGCACAGAAGATACATCAAAGCTAAACTACAGAGAGAAATTTTCCAAATAAGTAAGCATATCGATAACAAATGACTACAGATAGAATCCACTAACTTACATGACCAGAAAAAACAATATCAACACCATATTGATAAAGTAGGGCTTCCATTTCTTGTCTCATGCATTCAAATTCCTGATAATGAGAAGAGTAGCTATTATACCAAGGTGGATGCCATGCAGCTACCAGCCATGGGGTCACTGTCCGGTCTAGTTGATGTAGATCATCTTTAAGCCAAGCATACTGAGCACCTGGAATGAGCAGTGATAGGACATTGCATACAATTAAGAACAAAAGATTCCGAGGAAGTATTACATTTTGATAATTTAGCATTGCAGCACCACGCACGAACATTCAAAACTCATTTGTAATTAGCAGTTAATTTATCAATTAGAAAGGCTATGGCATCAATTACCGGTAGCATTGTAGTCGACATATGCTCCCAACATGATAAAATGTACTCCTCCAGCATCAAAAGAGTAATAGAAGTTACTTTTAGAGCCAGATTCCTCTGAAGGCACTGCAAACCTTGTCAAATAGGATTTGAAAGTGATGCCAGAAACTTGGGGCTCAATCTCATGGTTGCCCTCAATAACCATCATAGGAACTGTTGAGGTCAAAGGCTCCATGAACCTGAGCTTCCATTTTGACCGTGTTAATAGGATTTCAATGAATTCAAGAGAAGCAGAATCACAAATGGTCTCAGATATCAAAATTCATAACAGTGAAACAGGATGCAAAGGCATTTAGATCCATACTAATTCAGACAGTTTACCTTCCCCACCCGTCCCAGCGTGGTTGATATGTTTCTCTGATAGGGGCATCTGGGAATGCACATGAAAAGCATGAAGCTCCTTTCCCACCAGTTGTACGGTACTGATTTGCATAGGTTAAGTCTCCAACCATTAAAATCATTGAAGGATCATTCTGGATTAAATGATCAATAGTTGTACTGGTATTGCTTGTGAGCCCCAAATCTCCAACGACAGCCATTCGATGAGGATATGTGCTTTGGCTAGGCATTGGTAAAGTTTCAAAGGCATGCTCTTCACTCATAGCAGGGATAGAGCTATCCCCACATTTGTAATAATATTTTGTTCCTGGTTTAAGACCTACAACAAAGAAGAGAGCTCTTCATATTTTGTTCCACTTATCATCTTCTAGGTGCTCATTATGTAACTAAATGACCATCCTCTGAAGATGATATCAAGTTTCACTCTGTTAACAACTTAACACTATGATGAAACGGAGCTAATTTCATCTAAAAGGCCCCAATTGAGCAACCATCAACACCATTATGAATAAAGCACAAATTTTGCTTCACCAAAATATGTGTTTTTCTCTCTTCTCTCCAACTTATAAAATAATCAACCGGGATTCTTTTCGCATTCGGTACTTAATATTTTCAAAATAGTATTGGCAATTCAATTGTATAAACAAAACACAATCAAAAAGTTATATAAGAATCAAAAGGTTTCCATACCATCAATCCTCACATGATGAATGATGCCAGAGGTGTAATTCAAGAGGCCTTCAAATGGGTACAATTGGCTATAAACAACTGAAACCCCTTTCTTCACACTCTCATACTTCCCACTTTCTTTTCCATAGCGCACCTCACTCCCAACCTTGGAAGGATCAAGTGGTGTCACATTTTTCCCAATCTGAGCATCCCCTGACCCCAAAAAACCAACCAACCCAGTTCATCAATTCCATTCAACCAAACAAAGAAAGCAAGAAAACAACACAAAACACTCAGAATTTCAAATTGCACAGACAAGTACCAGTAACCCAAGAAACCCACATGGAAGTAGGTGAGGATATTGCAAGTGCTATCTGTTCTGGGAAATTCAGAGTCACATTCTTCTTCAGCCTGGGATGGTCCATAGGTAAGTCATTGCTGCCTCTGCGAAGTGATGGGTCGAAACGCCGCGTTGCAGGCTCAAATGGGCCTTCTAGAGTTGTGGGAATGGGAGACTGAGCCACTGCCATCTTTGTTACAATCAGTAAAATGATCAAAGTGATCATCCATAGCTTACAGTTCTGCATAACATTAATTCTGTATTTTCTGCCGCTTCTTTTTTTGTAAAGTTGATGAAGCTTCAGAATTCAAGCTGGGAATGAGAGGAAGGAAAGAGTTCAGTAGTGATAATGAGATTTGGCATCTTTGAGATGGGAATATTCTGTTTCTTTCGCTGTTTTTGGTATTATTGATTATCTAAAGAAAGAGTAGCCGTGGAGAGTGGTTCATGCAAATTTGCAATGGAAGGAAGTGTACGAAATCTTCTTCTTCTCTGTCTTTATTTCTTCACTGCTTGCCGTTGCCGTTCGGCTGTCACCTCTTATTAGGAGTCAATTACACCGTTGCTAAATAGTCCTTCTTCGGTTAGATAACTTAGAACCTTGATTCGCTCCATACACGTAAATAGTCATTCCTCTGTCAAGAAGAAGTTCACCCAAAAAAAAAAGTTCAACTCGTATAGAGGGGGACGGTCATGGGGTAGTGCAAGTGGTGTCATTGCTCTCATGGCCCCCGATTTTTGAGAACCTTGGTTCGTGTCAAAAAATTTAGAATCTTGATTCGCTCCTTACATGTAAATAGTCATTCATCCGTCCAATAAAAGTTAAACACATGTAGGCTTAGAGTGGCTACTTATTAAAATATAAATATAAAATTTATGTACACGTGTTAAATTATAGTTGACATATAGCAAGAAATGATTCTTTACATATAAGCAGACAAATATTTTCCAAAAATTTATACAGAACGTGAATACATATCTATAATATTATCAGGAGAATCGTCTTTGTCAACCAAAATGACCATTTCTTCCTTTCTTATTAATGAGTTTAATAATAGCTTTGCCACATGATTTTAGTAGAAATAGGGAGGGAAAAATAAATGACCTTAGAGCATCTCCAAAGGAGATGTCAACTACCAAATATCAAATTTAAATTTGATGGTTGATGTGACAATTTGACATTTTATACAATTTTACATTCCACTCAATATGTCAAATTAAATTATTATTTTATTGCATTTTAATGTTGATTCATTTTTAATTAAAAAGAAAAGAAAAGAAAAAATAATAAAATATTCATTTGACATCTTGCTTTTCGGATGTCGAAAATAACATCTCAACATCCAACCTTCATTTCACATCAGTTCTGACACATCGGTTGGAGTGATGTAAGATGTTATTTCTAGCTGTTAAATATTTATGTAACACGTTTAACACATCGATTGGAAATGCTCTAAAACGAATGTGGGGTTGCTAAGAGCCCGCAGGCCGAGGAGGAAAGTGAAGGTCGCTGCTCATTAGCTGTGGCCTTTAAATTACCATTCAACTTTCTGGGCTTACCTTTCTTCTTACATAAGGCTACGTCCAATTTTTCATCAATAGTATTGGGCTTGACATGTGGATTTTGAACTTTAGTCCTTTTCTTTTTCACTTAACACAAAATTTTAAATCTTTACGTAGTTAGAGATCGGATACCACTAAACCAAATGGTTATTACCTATAAAAGTTGATATATAAATCCCATTACTTACACTTCATTGTTTTGTTGTATTTATAATCTTTAAAATTCTTTTTGATCTAAAAGCTTTCAAATTTACAAAGTACATGAGGTTTATTGATTACACGCCTTTTTTTTTTTTTTTAAATAAAGAAATTTTGTAATTTCATTCATAATTCAGCCAAAAAAGTCATTAGTCACAAAGGACCAATACAAACTAACCACAAAATGCCATTACAATAACGGAGCAATCTAACATCAAAATTAAGGCAAGAGCTCCTCCACTAATGATCACTCAAGATCGAAAAAATTCTAGCATAGGCATCTCAACTAAGAGTGCAAACTCTGAACAACTAAAAATGGATAAAACTTGAAAAAACCAAGTCACAACAAAACAAATAAAACTCTCACAAAGAAAAGGTGGAGAGTTCTCACAAAGGATAGGTGAAAAATTCTCACAAAATTAGAAGTGAAAACTACACAAAAAACCTAAAAGGTCTCTGCGACTTATTCCAAACATGAAGAACAAGCAAAAAAGATGATGGTAGAGATCTGATACCAAAATGTAAAGTGATTACACACCTTCAAGTTTATTTTATGACATTGTACTAGATGATAGAATGAATTATATGAAAGGTTCTTCTAATTAGATAAATCGAGAATATTTTCGAAATCTAAAACATTACACTAACAATTTGATTTTATATAGCAGTGTAAAAGGTAAATATATAGAAGTACTATTTCCTTCTTCTTCTTCTTCTTTTACAAATAATTCTCGTAAGTAATTAACCATGTTTTGAATAAATCAGTTTTTCTTTTATTTTTTCAGGGAAAAAAGAAAGAAAGGAAAAACAAGAAAAGAGACGTGTCGAAGATTTGGGAAATATTTGACAATTAGCTCATGACGAGGTGGGAGAATGCGTGAGCTAGGATAATACTTTTGCATTGCATGTGTAAGATGGAATTGTGGTGAACTTTTTTCTTTTTAATTTTATTTTTAATATTTGTAGAGTGCACGTGAAATCATGTGAGTAGGACCCTTTGTGGGCTCCATTTGCCTACATGCGTGCACGCCGCCCTACATGCAAAACTTGCGCTCATACTTGGGACGAGAGACTCGATAGCATAACATGCACGAGACAGACAAAGAGAGAGACAAGGGATTATATATATATATATTTGTTCGATCTTCTTTTCCACCTGATTGTTGAATTCACTGAAAAATATTAGGGTTACAGCTTAGACGACAACTTCGATCTAAATCCTCACGACTCCAACTTGGTATAAAATGAATTAGATTGAATTGAGTTCATGTCGTGGCAACTTGAGCGTTAACGGAGATCATTATATGAATTTTTGTTTTAAAATTGTCCACATTGCTACAAATACCTTAGAACAGTATATAGATAGAGAACTACACGTAAGTTGGGATACAAAAGTCATCTCAAACCTACACGTGGCTCCGTCACTACATGTAAACATCAATTTCGACTTGAATCTCTCACCTTAAATTATTCTAATCTGACTAGTACCTACAACCTGAATTCATACCTCAAACCGAGCTTAATCTTCTCATTTTTCTTTGGTATGGCTAAAATAAGAAATTTACAAACATGAAACCCCAAGCACAACCCAATCGACTTGAGCTTAATTGAGCAAGAGGCCACAAACCGAGCTTAATCGAAATCATGAATTACTCACTACTTGAGCTTTAGTTAGCCCATTCTAAACCCTAATTTTCATTGGCAAACAATGAAACACACAGGGGCGGAACCACACTAAGGGCTACAACCCTATATATTTAACTTGTTTTCAATATTAGCCTAGTCAGTGGCGAACTTATTAAGGCGTAAGGAGGTGCAGCTACACCTCCCATCACCGGAAAAACCACTGTAGGTGCTTCAAATTGTCACTTTGCTCAGCTGGTGGTGGTGCACTCCAGATGTACAGTGTAACAACCCGGTCCTTAATTAATATTTAATTATTAATTTATTCTGGTAAAAGACACTTATACCCCTAGAATATTTTATTAGTTTAAAAGTTGACTTTTTGACCGGGAAGGAATTTAGGGATTTCAGTTGTACCGTTGCATAGAGCGCGACGAAACGAGTCCGTAGACATATAGTAGACTCAAATCGGAGTTGTAACGAAGGAGTTACGATCAAAAGAAATTCAGTGGCATAATCGTAAATATTTCAATCTTCAGTTTATATAAACCCAGATTTTCTGGTTTTCGGGGGACGACCAGCCGACTTTGGGAGCTGTTTTCTCTCAGCTCCGACCTCCGATTCAGGCAAGACCAGTGCTAAACGAACCACCAAACTTCCCCCTTCCAACCTTAGCCATTCGCCTCCTCGATCTGCCATCATAGTCGCCGGAAACAGCCGCGAAACAGGCAGTGCTGGACAGTTTTTGACAGAACTTCCAAGCTTTCGTTCTCCGTCGTCCGGCCACCAAATCGGACGAGTGAGGTATGGATTTCTAGCTATTTTTCATGCTCTAGCTGCTGGTTGGATAGGATTTCATAAATTTCCAGCGCAGGTAGCTCGATTTACGAGCTAGGTTTCAGCAGGTTTTTGGGTCACTGTTCCGGCCACTTCCGTCCAGTTTTTTGGGTAGGTCCAAGAACAAAAATGGCTCCAAATGGGGTGTTATACCTAGGATAGGAGTCTTGAGCCATGATTCGGAGTTTTTCCGACAAAACGTTATCGCTTTAGGCACCACGCGCTGACGGTGCGTGGGCGGCGCGTGAGTAGCAGGGTGGGGACCACAGTCAGTCTTAGAATAATCTCCTAGTCCCCACGAGCACGTAGGATTTCGCGGATCTTAATTCGGATAACGTTTGAACCCTGAACGGATCTTGCCTAGTGTGTGATTTCCGGGTTCGATATGTTTGAACCGTTGGATCGCAGTCAATTTCAAGTATGTTGATCTAGGTAATTCCAGGATCGTATAGTATTCGACGGATCGTTAAACAGTCCCGATTGCTCCAGAAATGTCAGCCCTAGAACGAGTTTTACGGATAAATAAACCAGTTACAGATAAACAAACCAGTTGCTGTTTGGGCCAAAAATTGACACATCCAGCCCAGCGGAAAGAAGGAAGCCCAAAAAACCAAGAGAGTTCAGCCCAAGGCTCATCAGAGCAAACAAGACTGATTTGGGCCTCACAGGCCCAAACATAATAGGAAAAGGGAGTCTAGAAGAAGGAACAATCCCACATGGCAACTTCTGGGATTAAAAAGTCAGCAATTGCGGAAGTCAGCAAGGATTAAAAAGTCAGCAATGGCAACTTCTGGGATAAAAAGTCAGTAATGGCAACTGCCATGGAAGAAGTGATTGAAGGGTTCATGACATCAAGTTGATTCTGAAAAACTGAAGATCAAATCCCTCTTATATATATGTATATTCAGAGATTTTTCTTCTGTCCTTTCAGAGAAGGCAATTCTCCCAAGGAGATAAGCAAGTTACAATCTCAGAGAGGGATAAGCAGGAAAGCAGGGAGCTGTCCAGAAAAGGAATCAAACTAACCATCACGGTTAAAATATCACAAGAGGCAGCTGAAAAACAGGGAAGTGATCACCTATCTGAGAGTCTATCTGCCAAAACTGAAGAAGAAGAGGAAAAGGGGGGAAAATATCTTTGCTGCCCAATAAAAAAACACAATCACCCTACTCCAGAGAAGAAACAGTTTTACTATAAATACAAGAAGGGGTGGACAGGATAAAGGACACTCAAAAAACCAAAAAAATCAATCAAAAACAAAATGATCACTTGAT